CTTTAATAACTATTGCTTGGAAAGTTTATATTTGGTGAAATCCTTTAAAACTAAGAAAAAAATTAATAAAGTTTAAAATAAGAAGATGAGGCTCATTATTTAACCTTCAGTGAAGTTAAATCCAACTGTCTGAATAACTGATTCCAGGTTAACAAATCAGTTAAAGTTTTATTGGAAAGTCTTCAAAAATTTCCTGAGAAGAATAATGGAAGTGGAAAAATAATTGAATTTTTAACAGTCTAGGAGCTTGTAAGGAGAAGTACTTGTAATACAACCAAAAATTACATAGACTTACGAATTTATACTTCATAAAATGTGTTTTTGGTTTTAATAACAGATTTTCCATAATTCAGCTATTCATGTTTCAAAAATAATATTTTTTTCTATCATGTAAGGATTTTTTACGAATTGGGAAAAGAAGAAAACCTCTTACTTAGATCAAATTGTTATTTCATTTACCACAATGAACATTTGTTGTTATCATGTTTGTTAAAAAAAATACAAACAAACTGAAGAAAAAGGAAGAACATTGATGTCAAACAAATATGCATCCTCATTCATCCTGATTTTTTGTGTGAAATCTACATATTTTAGTTTCAAAACTATGTGTTGTGATCTTTTTTTTTTTATGCATTGCGTCATGACGTTTTGTGAAAAATCTGTACATGATGGAGAAAAATGGATATCATTTTCGGATTCAACATACAGGAATTGCTGTAGAACATATAAAAATTTCAAGACAATAAAACCATCACAGACCTGTGTTATCTGACAGTGACAGTTCAAGGAGAAACTTTTCCTTTTCATTATTTTGCTGGCACTCTTTTATTGATAGCATGTAAAGAAATAATTTGCAATTAAATATGTAGTTTTTCAGTATTTTCTAGATAATAATAAGGGTAATTGTCAGAAAGATTGGAAATAAATCTTTTAGGTTTAAACATTTAAAGGCAGCATTTCATTAGAAATATATGGGAAATGATGTAATATCTGGTAAAGCATCTTGGAAATAACCTATTCAGTAGAACATTGAAGTGATATTGTGTGCATGAGGGAGGAACTGTTGTATTTGTTACTTTACTGAATGTATGAAGTATATCAGTCAGGTGAACACAACTGTGTAATGAGATTTGCATCAGCATAAAAAATAGTCTTAATACTCCTGAGGTTTTTCATATATATAAATATAAAAAATGCTGGTAAATGCATATTCTAACATCCAGTGTCACATTTGATATAAACTGTTAATTTAAGATGACTGTTATGTTTAATAATGTGTTTGCATACACCAAGGAACCATAATATACTAATATTTATGTGGCTAGAAAGATTGAGAGAGCTTTATGAAATTACTCTCACAATAAAGTTTGCATGTGTCAAAAGATGGCACATCTGGTCATCAAGCATGGACATCAGAATTAAATCTAAGTCAGGTTTAAAATGATATAATTACCTTATACGTTTGAGTATTTTTTCATGTTTTCTTAGGCTCTAGATTTTTGTGGGAGGAATCATGCAAGGTTAACTATACTATTCTGTGCAGGGTGATATTTTCTTTATAACTCTTTGCAGAAGCAAAACAATGTCATTTGGGATTGTTGGTTATTTGAATTTTCAGAATGTTTTTTTTTTCTCCAGAAGTAGTTGCCTTTTCACACTCAAATCCACCAACTTCTTTTCTTTCAGTAGGTAGCATTAGAAATATACTTCTGTTAGTGATTGGTTGTGGTAAACAAACTGCTACAAATATTCTCTAGCTAGTTTGGCTTTTAGTAAATGTTTTCTTATTTTCCTGCTTGTAGCAAGTGTTGGGTTGTTTGTTAATAAATTCTTCCTCTTTTTAGGTTAAGTTCAAGGCCAATAAGAATGGTTTCTAATATTTTATTTGTCTGTTGTTCAAGTATTCATTATGTCTTAAACAGCAAGAGTAGTGATCAAGGTTCACAAAACTTCATACACTTGATAAGGCTTTGATTAACCTTTAGATGTTAATTCGTATGTAGTTTTATATTGCATGCTTAATTTCATATCTCAGTGTTTAAAACTGTGGTTTTTGTATGTTCACTTTACTATATGCTTTTTTTTGTGTGCTTATATTAGGAAATATTCTACTAGACAGTGGCACCACAAGTGGTGGAATCAAGATAACAGACTTTGGACTCAGCAAAGTGATGGATGATGAGAATTACAACCCTGAACATGGCATGGATTTGACTTCCCAAGGGGCTGGGACGTATTGGTACATTTCAAATAGAAAATTGACAGAATACTGCAAAATTGTATTACTTATAAATTTACTTGTGGTTTATATATAGGAGATGTTTCTATTATCTTCTTTTTTTTCACGTGAGTTGCAAAAACATATTATTATTATTATTGTTGACATTTTATTACAACTGTTGCTTTATGAAAAATATATGCACACCAACAAGTTCATAAACAACTTTGCAGTACTAATTAATTTTACAAATGTGACATTAAAGCTATCTCTTTGTGGAGAGTTAATGTCCTGACTTTTTAAATAGATAATAGTGGTTATCAGCAAATTTTAGTATATTTCTTTATTCTGCCGTGAGAAGAATCCTAAAAATGAAGTGTTGCCACTTGCTCTAAAAAGTGTTGAATTATTATCAAATAAGTTGTTTAGTGTTCATTTCATTTCATGGAGTATGATTATTAGATTATTATAAATTAAAACTTTAGTACATTTATATATTTAAAGTTTTCTTCTTAACTTCCATTTTGTTTTTCCCTTTCTTACATCACGAATAGAAAATATGAATACTTTTTTTTTTTGCAGGTATCTTCCTCCAGAGTGTTTTGTTGTTGGTAAAAATCCTCCCAAAATTTCTTCCAAAGTTGATGTTTGGAGTGTTGGAGTAATTTTCTACCAGTGTCTATATGGTAGGAAGGTAAGAGAAATCCTTCTTTCTCATTGGAATATTTTTTTATTATGCTATACAAAAAAAATTTTACACGTTTCAGTTATTTTAAATAGTGCTTAAATATCATTTACAACATAAATGTGAAGTGAACAATTAGAATATGTATACATTATTTGGGAACATAAAATATTTAAATCTAAGGTGAATAAGACGATATCAGTAAAAGATACAGAAAAAATAAACATAAGATGAAGAAATTAATCATCTAGCTTGTAGAAAAAATGGAATTATATTTTAATGCAATGAGCATTTTCAAGAGAGATTATCAAACTATGAACTTGAAGGACTGAATATCTAGAAATGTTGAATTAATTTACTGAACATGTGAGAAACAAGATGTTAAATAGTAAGTCATCAGAAGGAATATTATGATGTAAAATTGTAAACAAATTGATTTTACTTAGGAAGCATGTAGAAAAGATGTAAACAGTCAGCAGAGTGTACATTTTGAAAAGAAGTTAATAAATATTTGATTATCAATATTTGAGATATTAAACCAGGGTTGGCAAGTTGGTCAATTAACCAGTCAAGTAGTAGTGTCAAATAACTGGTAAAAAAATCTAATACTTATATTAAATACCATTAATACCCATGTATTAGCCAATGTTTTTTGATTAATTTTAGGCCCACAAGCCCCCCTTACTCTGCTTATAGCCAAAATGACTGAGTGCTCAATCCAAACAATAAAAAGCTTTACGTATTGTGTCAGCCTAATATTTTTTTTTAATGATTTTATACCTTTTGTAAATATTTTATATATATATTGATATAATATAATGCATGAGTTTAATGGGTCCTTACTTTTCATCTGCTGAAACTTTTACAGATGATTGATGTTATACTACACCATAATATAATATCCTTCACTTTTATGTAGCCAACAACTATGTTTTTTTATATACTTTCAATATAATTATATAGTGGGTATTATGACTAGCAATATTATTTACTTACAATATGCAGTGTCGAAACTGCAGCACTGGCTTGCTTGTTGTCAGTAGACAAACTAAAAAAGTTGTTCTATAAATGTAAATAAAATCATGACTTATATCTCCAGAATGTAGCTTTATTAGCTTAATATTTCACATATACAGCTTCGTCAGGAGCTATCGATATCCTACAAATTCCTGACGAAGCTGTAATAGCAAAATATTGAGCTAATAAAGTTACATTCTGGAGATATAAGTCATGATTTTTTGTTTATGTTGTTAAAACTGTATTATAATAAACTCTGTTTTGTTTTGTGAAAATGCAACAAGTAACATTTCTGAGTGTTCAAATAACCACCATTATATTAAATATGTAGGAAACAAGATGTTAAACAGTTAGTTGAAAATTTAGGAAAGAAGGTATCAAACAATTGATTTTTAGAAAGAATATTTAAAAACAAGATGTTAACTTATGGAATCTGTGGAAAACAAGATAGTTAAGCATTCAGTACCTCAGAGTGAATATTTAGGGAACAAGTTATATAACATATTGAAATAATAGAGGGAACACAAAGAAAACATGATATTGAACATCATGAATACGAAAAGCTCCATCTATAGAACTCAAAAGATTGAATGAAGTAGATAACTGGTGAATATGTAAAATAAATAGTAGTTTGAGCTTTTTTTTTATAAACAAAAAGTAAATATGATAAATTAGCAGACTGGGTGTCTTCTAAATGAAAAATTAAAAGCCTGAAAATTAATATACAAACTAAAACAAGTTAGCCAAGTGAGTGTTTTATAAACAACATAAATTAATATTTACTACCTTGTACATTTATAAATACCATAACTTTTTCTTACCAACTTCATGCTCTTAAAAGTAAGATGAATGAACCAGCTTTTCTTTTGTTCATACAGTGTATAATAATTACAAAATAACATTAGGTATTTCAGTGCATATTTGAAATTTTCAGAATTCATGTTATAATTAAAAAATTGGTTTTCTGTTTTAAAAAAGCATGTAAAGCCAAAGGATATATATAATTTTGGTTATATGACTTTTTAATTTAAGAATGGACATCCCTAAAACATAATCTTTTTTTATAGTTATATGACTTTTTAATTTAAGAATAGATATCCCTAAAACATAATCCTTTTTATAGTTATATGACTTTTTACTTTAAGAATGGACATCTCTAAAACATAATCCTTTTTATAGTTATAAGACTTTTTAATTTAAGAATGGACATCCCTAAAATATAATCCTTTTTATAGTTATAAGACTTTTTAATTTAAGAATGGATATCCCTTAACTATAAAAAGGATTATGTTTTAGAGATGTTCATTCTTAAATTAAAAAGTCATAACTATAAAAAGGATTATGTTTTAGAGATGTTCATTCTTAAATTAAAAAGTCATATAACTATAAAAAGGATTATGTTTTTAAGACTTTTTAATTTAAGAATAGATATCCCTAAAACATAATCATTTTTATAGTTATAAGACTTTTTAATTTAAGAATGGACATCCCTAAAACATAATCCTTTTTATAGTTATAAGACTTTTTACTTTAAGAATGGATATCCCTAAAACATAATCCTTTTTATAGTTATAAGACTTTTTACTTTAAGAATGGACATCCCTAAAATATAATCCTTTTTATATTACCCAGTGTCATGAAACATTACAATAGAAAACAAAAAACTGTGAACATTTTGCTCTTGTTTGATAAGAAAAGAAACTTCCAGTTTCCAGTGAAGAACTTGTAATTACTTTGACACATCACCTTGGTTTCTTCAAGAGGATATCCCTCTATTGGTTATAAAAGCTGTAAGGTGAAACATCAAGGTCTTTGGTAACTGGTTGTTTCTTTTTGTTGTTGTTGCACATGCTTACACTCCAGTGATTAATTAAGAAGGGTTCAAAATATTTCAACTTCACTTAAGTTGTGGTTGCTAATTTGTTATATGAAGGAAATAATGCATTTCATTTCTCACAGCCGTTTGGTCATAACCTTTCTCAAGCCACTATTCTTGAAGAGAACACTATTTTAAAAGCTACAGAGGTTGATTTCCCTGCCAAACCTGCTGTTAGTAATGAAGCTAAGGTTAGTTTGCTCTTTTTATATTTCAGTACTCAATATTAAAGTACAAATTGTTTTTTTATTTAACTATTAAGAAATATATTCTGGTTTTGATTTGGTAAATAATTGATTTGTAAATATATTTGACACTTATTTAATATATATATACATATTTGGTTAAGTAAATAGTTTGGTTTTACAAAAACACATTTCTGATTATTTTCTGTCTCTTACTTTCTAAATGCACTTGAGATTGTCCTAAGTATTTTTTAAGGTTAGTACAAATAAACATATAAATTACTTTGTTACACACATCCTTTAAAATTTAAGACATTTAATCTTACATTTTCTTCAATAGAACAGTAATGTTCTCCAGTCGTTCCAGAATTGTAAAGCAATTTATGGTTGTATGTTTTGTACTAATATCAAATTTTCTATCTTAGTAGGTCCTTATTAACATTTACTTATAAAGACATAATATTTTAAGTGTAACTTCCATGTTAAAACTTGACAACGACATACTTGTCACTTTAAGAACTTACTGAAATATGGAATAGGGAGACATGTAAGGGATGGACTATCTACCATTTTGTATTAGAGTGGCTTGGAATTTAGGGTATAAAAATGACCATAAAGCATGTATTTATTTTAAACCTAAAACTTATAATTGCTCTAATGTTTCTAACAGTTTAGGTTTGAACCAGTGGAAATTCTCGTCTGTGCTAATAACTGAATTTTTATTCTAAGCAATCTTTTGTTTTCTTTCTTTTTTTAAGCAATTCATCCGCCGGTGCCTACAGTATCGGAAAGAAGATCGTATTGATGTATTTGGTATGGCAAATGATGACTATTTTAAACCCAACTATGGAAAATATAGTCGACAGGCGAGTTCCTCTGATAGATCATAGCCTTCTTCGGAACAGAATTTTGTAGGTTTTTTTCTCTCAAAATAACAGCCAAACAGCGTGCCAACATATTGTACTGAAGATGAGAGCTATGCATTGATTTGGTGAGGTTCTGGGTAGCAATGGATTCAAGATATAATTTAATTGAAGTATGCTATACTTATTCAGCCTTTCTTCATACATATTAGGCCATTCCACTGGCACGCTCTTCGGTGAACATCAACATGATTCCCAGTTTTTCAACAACAGGAGTATGGTGAATGTATTTATGGGGATAGATGGTAGTACCTGGATGCAAATATATCTTCAGGCTAAGGAAAAGTTTCATATAGATTTGGGCAACATGTCTGCCTTATATGAGCTTTGGAGTGCTCAGTGTAACATAGAGTGTACAAAGTGTAAGTGAGGATGGACCAGCATAAAAACTTTATGAATGTATGTGCATGTGTGTATGTATGAACAATTCTGTTAGGTAAGAACTACAACACGGTTACTTTTGTCTAGAAGACTTAAGACAAATGATCTGTAAATGATCAATTGATAATCCTAACTGTCTCTTCCAATGAACTATAAAATAGCGTGTAGATTATGACCTTTCAACACCTGTTTAGTCAACAGTGTAGAAAACAAAACGGAATTCCTTCTCAATTTTTAGTACTGTCGAAACTGCATTCCAGTATTTTCTAAATCGGTGTCTACTGAAACAGCTCTCTGTTACTTACTGTATTTACCAAACCACCACTCAAGTATCTACTGAATCATCACTTGCTTTACGTACTGAGTCAATGATTCAGCGTCTACTGAAACAGCTCTCTGTTACTTACTGTATTTACCAAACCACCACTCAAGTATCTACTGAATCATCACTTGCTTTACGTACTGAGTCAATGATTCAGCGTCTACTGAAACAATGCTCTTGGATTTATCGGGAAAAAAATTCATTGTATAATGAAGAAACATCAGATATTTACTGGATCAACAGCTTCGTAGTTACTGATGTGATTGAACACTTGAGTAACTTCAAATCAACCTTTGGTATGGTAACCATTGGGCCAAATCTTCAGTATTTGTAAAATGAATCATTTAGTTATTCTTGTACCAGTTTTTAGTGAATCTTCTCTTCTATTCCAAATTTTCAGTAACAGTAGGATATAGTTTCAAATGCCTATTAGATTTGTTTTCATTAATTACTTAAGCTGCTTCAAGTAATCATTTGATCATATTTTACAACAATGGGGGTAGCTGTTGAATTTCAATCTTTTGTTTGTCACTGAATCAATACCTCGGTTTTTTTATGAGCAAATATGGTCTCAGTAAATCTTTTAGTGAACTCTCAGTCAGTGCATCAAAAGCTGACAAGTTAATTTGTGAATCAACTTAGAGGAACCTAATGAATTTAATTTTCAATGAGCATCTGTTAAAACAATATATTTGGGTCAGATTCTCAACAACCATATGATCAACTTTTGAATGTTTTTCAGTTAAAAGGCTTCAGTATCTACTGACTATACTTCATTTTTGCTGGATTATACTTTACTTTCTTCTTGAAGAATATTTGAGTATTTACTGAATCAACTGTTTGATACCTACTGGCCAGTACTTTAATATTCAAAGTTGAGGAAAATTCCAAACAACTACAGCAACATATTAGAGAGAGCATACGAAGGACAATTATTGAACTTGTATAGGAAATCTCTGTAATTAATCTGTTATTGTATCTAAACATTGCAAAGTTATTGTGATACACCTCAAAGTTAGAGATGTTCTCATGGGTCTCTTTCTGCTACTGGTCGTAAGGTAGTGTGGGATCTCTGACATCACATTTGTAGTTACAAATTATCTTGTATATTAGATATTTGTGTGATTTAGGTCAGCCAAGCAGTCAAGCTTTTTTTTTTTTTCTTTGAGTTTTTTCAAAAAGTTAAGTTAAGCTGTCAGATTGATTTTTCGTACACCATTTGGTAAAGATGAATATCTAGAACCACAATGGTTCTTTGTTTCCAGGCATATTCCCATTTTGATGAAAGCTGAAGACATAAAGTCTGTGATAATCAACACTGTCTGGTCTCATTTTGTTAGATAGAGAAAAGTTTTTTGTTTTTCTTTATTGGCAGCCAACACATTCTGAGAAGAAAACATTCCTTTTTTTTAACACTAAGTGAATGACTAGTCACTATTGGTCATGCTTAACTCATAATTTCAACTAAAATTATAAAAAATTAACTAGTCAGTGTTAAATAAAACTATTGATAAATCTAGATGTTTAATTTCTACCTAAATCGTCTTAGAAATAGCATCCCTTCTTTCAACAAATGTTCCATAAAACTGAAAATTATAACATTTCGGTGTATTTAAACAGAAAATTGTTGAAAAACTTAACAAAATTTTTTGAAGTATATTATATTAAAATAATCGTGAGTGTATGTGGTTTTAATACCCGGTGGGTCGGGTTGGTGGTACGTTTGAGAATTTTCAATGCTAAAATCCTGGGTTCGATTCCCTACTGTATGCAGAGTGCAAATAGCCAATAGCTTTGCACTGAGAAGACAACAACCGTAAAAATCTATAAAATATCATTTCGTTTTTTATTGTTTTTTTCCGATAGTTTTTATTTTTTAACTCAAAAACCTGCTATCTAAAGATAAAAACACACACGATAAAAAAGCTGGCAAGTCACGCAAGAGAAACCGATAAAACTACTAGTGTTTTCGAAAGCGCCAGCGTTTTATCAGTTTTTTTTTAACAGTATTTGTTGAGATATTCCGTAGTAACCATCAAAGATATCATAACAACCTCTCATCATTGTATATGCCCAGTGGCTTAGCGGTAAGTCTGCAGCTTACGACGTAAAAAATCGAGTTTCGATACACGTGGTGGGCAGTAGTGTAGCCAGGTTTTCCACGCGGTGGGGGGGGGGGGGCAGAAAATTTTTAAAGGGGCAATATATTAAAAAGCTGAAACTGATCTAAAATGGTCATTAAAACAAATCAAAGTAATAGTGTTTATAGAAGTCATATTTTGTAATTAAATGATACAAAACGAGTTTATTATATATAAATGCTGAAAAATAAGTTAAAATATAGGAACGCCCTTCTGTAAGCGCTTGTTACCAAAGCCAAATAGGTGTTGATCGTGTGCCAAACCAGAAGTTTTTGGCTCTAGTGTTTCTTAGTGATTATTACCGTCAAACACAGCCGTCATGGATAGCGGTATGGTAGTGGACCTCATCTTTTGTTGGCTCTGAAAGATCTGGTAATTCGCATGATTATGTTTACGTCACAGGATTTGGATTATTGGCTCTATTTAACAGGGGTAAACGCTATAGGTTCTTTTAATCTGACATATCACTAACCACCTGTGGTTAATAATGTGTAGACCTGACTAATGAGTTCAAAAGACGCTCGAAAATAAATATAATACTTGAATGTGCCTTCAGTTAATTAAACCTAAAATCTATTAACCTCGTGCTTTGAACTTTAAAAAGGTAACCCATAATGTAGTGACATAATACTCGTACAGGATATGTGGCAAACATCAAGGTTTGGTACCATATCTAGCCACGCACTGGGAAAACATTATATTACTAGTGTTTCACCCTCTACAATATGATCGTGCGCCACATTGGGAATTTTCCTGGTAAGTAATTTTGTGGTAAGGAAGTACATTTCTTAAAAAGTATAATCTCTATATTAAAGCAGAATTGTACGTTTCGTGCCACAAGTTGTAAAGGACTGGTTGAACCACTTTTCGACTAAATTTGGTGAATGAAGTAGGCATTTGAGTTTGTCGCCATTTCTATGTTTGCGCCTAACTCCAGCAAATAAGGGCTCAAGTGAGCAAGAAGGTCGGCATCAAAACTTAGAGCCAACGGTATTTGAAAGTTGTATTCAATACTGCGTATAAAAAGGGAACCTTTGCGTCAGATAAACCGGTTCGTGTAGCATGCTGAGGCTCAAAACTGTGAAAGGGACAGCCCACACCTTCGTTTATAGTATCAGTTCTTATATTTATATTGCCCGGTACCTTTGCTAGTAAACAAATGAACTTAACTTTAAATAACAAACAGGTAAAATTGGTGTTTATGAATGAAATTGATTTTGTACGAATGTGTAATTAACCGCATTTTGTAAAAATGTAAACACTATATTTTAAAATCCTAATAACGTTGGTTGAAATCAACAATAAAATAGTTCAGTACTTGGAAATACAAAATAATGGGATCACTTACCATAGATTCGATTCGCGCTTCTATTAAAATATAAATTTAGTTTATTAAGAATTTAGGTTTAGTTAAAATTACAAAATTTGACATTGTTATTATGGATAAAATCCGTGGTTGGCGTGCCAGGCTGCAGATCAGAAAGTCTATCGATCCTGGCGGTAAACACATTCCTCACTTTCAGTTTTTGGAGGTTATAAGATTGACAGTTATGTGGCAGGAGCGTCGTGATGCTGTCTGTGTTTTCATGTGATCAGTAAATAGAAAATTGGGGGCGGTTCGACCTGTCTGTCGCATTAAGTGCTGTCTGGATTAATAATACTAACTGCTGCTTATGATAGAGTTGTGAGTCTCGAAAGATTATAAATTATTTGCGTTTATGTGTGGACAAAGAAGGTACTAAAGTTAATAAAGATTAAAGAAAGAACTTACATCGCTGGTTGTCGTTCTAATCTATTAAATTCTATATCAAGCGAATCGTTTTTTTAAACAAAAACTAAAAAACAACTTTATCTAAACTTAATAATCGCTTCAATGGGGTAAAATTGTTATCAATAATGTATTTTAAATAGAGAAACAAAGAAATAGTTTCGTTTTTAAGGTTGATACAAGATGGAATGAAACGAAAACAGAAGACGGCTGTTGATTCTGTACTGTTAATTTTTCCAGGCAAGTAGCTTCCCGGTGGTTCAGTGGCAAGCCTGAATGTCTATAACGCTAAAACTCGGTTTTAGATACCCGTGGTAGGCAAATCACAGGTAGCCCATTGTGTAGCTTTGGGCTTTAACAACAAACCAGTGATTGTTTTTAGTTATAGTTAAGGATTCGTACCTTTAGTTTATTTATTATAGTTATTAGTTTAATTTTAGTTATGTAATTAACTGTAATAATAACCATCATTTTAGTAATTATTATTATAGTTAACCGAGTGGTGGCGACCTTAACAAATGAATACAATGCAATACGTGCTATGTAAGGGTAAGAAGAAAAATTTTTTTTTTTTAAGGTAAAGTATTATTCTGTCTTTGGGACTGTTTGCAGAAGTCTTCAGTAAACATACTTTCGGTTTAGCTACATGACTATTATCTGCATTTCTGACGTATTATTCCATACACAGGGATTTCAGTCAGACCATTTGTCCCCCAATGCACGTGGATATATGTCAGATAACTAAGTAATTTTAGTTACCATTACGTTATCGTTTTACATGTTTTTTAGTTATTGTTCTACTTATTATTAACTGGTGTGACTTATGTTCGTTAATGGACACTTGAGTTATAGTTAATTGAAAACACTGCAACAAACACAAAAACCAGGCAAGTATTAGCCTCCAATATACATGCATCCTAATATTTAGTGTATAAATACAGGTACGCATCTCCAACAGGAAATTTAAGCAGAGTGAAAAGTTTCCATTTATTCCTTTTAAGTGATGGAAATTTTTTTTTATCTTATAACTCCAAATTGTGTTTATTTTATAACGTACTGAAAAACGCTAAGCCAGATGTTGCATTGATTTATATCGTCAGCTTGGGTTGACGATATGTTTCTTTTTATTGTTTTAAGTTATAATTTTTCCATTATGCGTGAGAGAGTTTGAATTTCAGAAACGATGATAATGGCCATCAATACCTGAAGGGAAAGTAATGATCAATTAGTATTACGAATGAGGCAAACATATTACAGGGGAAAGTAATGATCAATTAGTATTACGAATGAGGCAAACATACTACAGGGGAAAGTAATGATCAATTAGTATTACGAATGAGGCAAACATATTCCAGGTTATAAGTTTATTTCGATTTAAAGTAATCGTGAATCAGAGGAAGAAATCTCTGTGTGTAATTCAACTTTTCCAATGTCAGCTGAATTAAAGAATTAACCCTCTAGCATCTTCCAGTAGGGCAGTTCTCAACAACTACCCCCCACTCCATACACACCCCCATAATAACCACGTTAGGAGACAAACTTGGTGGATCAGATGTACTTTGTCTTACTTTGTTAGAGTTAAATATGTTTGGAAACAAAAACAGCTCGTGACTTCATATTAACTTGTTCCATTGATTTGGATGTTAGTATGAGAAGTTTTAACAAGCGTTATTAATTGGTATCTTTCGCATTCCATTGAAGTAAAACTATTTAAGAAACTACTGTATTATCTTCAATTGATATTTCTAAAAAATATTTATCATTCACTCGTTAATGTTACTAAAAATGTATTTTTTAAATTAAAAATCTGAGGATTTAACTCTTGACACTCTCTCAATGGCTTGTAAGCTAAATTCTCAAGAGGAATGCTGAAGAAGGCTTTTCAGATATGTCAGATACACATTAATTCAAAATCTAAGGAGGATTTCGTTCATTAAATATTGTCTTGACCATATTATTCGACAGATGTTTACTTGTCTGGATACCTTTATGCATGTATATATGTATCACAGAAAATATCAGTCTTGGGATCGATAATGGAGAGAAAATTGGATATTGTGAAGTTCATCTGTTGGCTGATCCATTACTGGATTCAAGGATTGGAAAGGAAGCATGTTTATGTATTTACAACAGCCAATCCTTAACAATAAATTCGAACCCACATTTTCTCTTCTGAACTTGGAAATCTACAAAATAAAATAAACTACAGGAACGGAGTAAATCTGTAAAACAAAAGTAAAAGACTGAATTCGCATTGTCCTTATAAACGATAAAAGTATATAGTGACAAAATTATAGATTGTTTCGAGAGTTCTACTTCAGAAACTTGGTAAATCCAGAGTTGGTCATGTGCTATTTCTGTCCTGTATTGAGCAGATTAGAGATGGTATTTGTGGCTTCTATTTATT